ACCATACTAAACATCTCCGTACCCCGCAAAATAGAGAGAGGGCTGCGCAAAAATCACTCCTTCACATGGGCGGAGTCATCGCTGAAATACTTAGGGATCTGGATAACAAAAGACTTAGCACACCTATACCAAGTGAACTTCCATCCCATACTGAACAGGGTACGTAGGGACTAAGAAGACTGGTCCAGGCATCACCTGGTTTGGCAGGATAGGAACCATAAAGATGACACTCCTACCGCGACTACTCTATCTTTTTCAGGCACTACCCATCACCATCCCTGACGCTTTCTTCACTTCCCTTCGCACACTGGTACTACGATTCATCTGGCGCAAACCCAAAGCCAGAATTAGCCACGACACCCTCGCACGGCCGAAAGTGGAAGGCGGACTAGCCCTGCCAGACATTAGACAATATTGCATGGCGACACACATCCACAGAATAACTGAATGGGCCAAACAGGGAGTCTCCAAACTCTGGAAGACGGTAGAAAGAGCGCTAGTGGAACGACCGGTAGAAATACTACTGTGGTTGGACACGCTCCACTGCTCGAGACTAGCAGCCCCACACCCACTAATTAAAGCCACAAAACATATATGGCACTTACTGCCGACCAAACTGGAGCTTACCTCCTTCCCATCCCCACTATACCCAATAGTCCACAACACAGTGTTCCCCCCAGGACTATAGGCACGAGTGTTTCAAACGCGACTCCCCCAACTATGACGCGCGACACGAGATAGCACCATCAAACCATTGACAGATCTCCCAAACCCCACCACACTGACAGCTCACACAATTTATCAACTCCATGCCGCAGACGCATATGGTCTTAAGAAAACTCACGGACTTCGAGGCAATATGTGTAGATCACGAGACCATGGAAGGGGACTCTCATTCCTCTACCAATTCCTCATGCAATGCAGGAGACTACCCGCCCTGAACTATATGGGAAAATGGGAGACCGCCATGGACATCACACTCACACCCATGCAATGGTCCAAAATCTGCACCCTGACCCTACACTGTGCACCATCCAGTGGGACGCAAGAAATGGTGTATAAGTTGTTAGCTCACTGGTATAGGATACCACAACTACTACACACTATAGACCCTGCGGTCACCGACTGCTGCTGGAGATGCAAACAGGCCACAGGCTCACTACTACACACCTGGTGGGAGTGCCACCTGATAAAACTATACTGGACCTCAATCCACAAAATCTTACAGAAATTCTCGGACAACCCCCCACCACTGCAACCAGCAGCACTACTCTTACACCACACCAAACTCTGCACATCGATCTACAAGAAATCACTCACTATCAGAATTCTTAATGTAGCGAAAGGCCTGATTCCAACGCATGGTTCCAACGCATGGAAGAACAACGCACAATGGAGGAGCTCACCATGTTAGCTGAGGGTAAAACCCAGACATACATGGCAATCTGGACTCAATGGATCCTCACAGTTGCTTTAGAAGACTTCCGCGCCCTGTGGCAATGACTCCCGCATCACCTTCCTTCCCCTCCCCCCCCCACTGCCCCTCTCAGTGCCCACCCTCAGCCAGACTCAGGACCGCGGCCGGAGGGGAGCGCCAATGCCCGGAGGGTTGGTAGGATAGCTGCCACCGGACACTTGGAGGTGCACTGTACACAGACTTAGGCACCATTTACGACCTCTTGAACCAGTTATTTTGGATGTTATTACCCTGAAGGGACTTGCGTATTCATTAATACCTGCAAGTACCAATACACCATGATATTGATGAAAATGAGTGCCTGCGTGCACAATCTATACACTATCTGACAGCTACAGGTACCTGCGTGTACCAATTGATGGTCCATAAAGACAACTGAAACTGAAACAACCTGAATCCAACAAAACAGAAAAACCTCAATGAAATTTAATTTACAAAAAAATAAATAAATATGTATTTGCTTCAGCAAGTTTGACCAATGTTGCAATCAACATTTGGCAAGAAAAAATACATCAAAGTAAAACACATATAAAATATAGCTTGTGTAAGCATAAAACAAGACAATTTGGATTAAGTCAACTTTTTACTTCTGTGTTAATGATAAAATTTTACCCCCAAAAAACAAGCTATTACATGCAAGCACTTTCACTCCATAACATTGACCTACACGCCTCAGACATCCTAATGTTTGGAAAGAAGGTCTAGTGATCCCACGATTATATTTATTAACTCATCAGCCCTACATTAGGCAGGCCCACCTTATAAAGAAAGAGTCCAGTGGATGCCCAATAATTAATACACTACACACAGGGTAAGGAAAGGTCAAGAGAGGGGCCATATTATCGACCTCTCATGGTTACAGGGTAGAAAGGTCCACATTTTGTATATATACTGCATCTTAAAAAGGGCACTCTCAGGCACATAATAAATACATGCAGGTTAGTGTCCCGATTATGTTGACTAGAACGTAGGGGTGGTATCCCTGGTTATATGGTTTGACAAACACCATGGCTTTTCATTGCACCTAGATACCAACTCTTTCTAGACCACATGGACAACGTGAAAATACACTTCAACAATATCAGTGTGAGTTTCAACCGACCTGGATGATGGCAATTGGCTGAGAGCATTGAAGGCAACTTCAACTGGCTGAGCTCTGCAAATGTAAAAAGTACCAGCTAACCTTACTGCACATGAGGGAAATTATTGATAATTTTTCTTATTAGTTGAGTTTAGTATAAGACTTGATTCAATTATCTCCTAACTAGAGGGGAAGGTTTATTGTATTCTGTGTGGAAGTGTCCTGGACCTGAGAGCCAATGGTCCAGCCCCTGGAATATGTTACTGTAAACCCTGTTCATTGTACTTGCATAAAAATCTGTCCAGTTGGCCTGAATAAACCAATTTTGTTGTACCTTTCATCTAGTTCAGGATGATGTTTGGGTATATGATTGACTGCTGTGGAAGACTACTTGTATGCTGCACTCTAGCTGGAGAATATTCATGTGAATCCCTGAACTGCAAGCTATAATCAGTCATTTCTTAGCAATCCGGGAGGAACCAAATATGAATGGGTATCTGACATACCAGCATTCATAACACTGTGGATACCAAAATTGGGCCCCTCCACAGCCAAAACACCCGCATCGAGGCTTGTGGCCTACCTCAGCAAGGACTGTGGAGAGACGACCGCTCTCCAAGCCCTTAACTGGGCAGAGTTTAGCTAGTAACGAACTAACACCCCTCCTCCCCACCCCTGTGGACGGGTGGGGGTCATCCCGGTCCCCCCCTCGACTTACCCCATGTATTTCTGCCGACTACAGGCTGCCAATGTGTTACAAGCTCTCCTAAGATGGTGGATGCTTCTACGCAACATGTGCCTAACTCGACAGCCCTGGACTACCATGCATCTGAGCGCCTGCTTACTAACATGGACAAGCTCTTTGAAAGCTTCTTTGCAAAGCCGTCAGCAAGTGCCATGGTGTCACTGACTCAGAACCGGGAGAGGGAACAAAGTCGAGGCCGAGAGGAGGTGAGCAGACCTTCTCTGGGCACAACCCTTCACCAAGCAACAAGTCCCTCTACAGTTGCCCCGCCTAGGCTGAAGGCCACAGGGGATACAACCCACCAGTATCTACCATAGAGGCTGAAGAACCGTTGCTGCTGGTGGCGCTGTACCACCCCCAACAGGGAAAGACTCAGCCTCATGTCAGAGCCCCCAAGACTGTGGCCCTATGATGCCGGCCTTCACAACGGTCGAGGCTGTGGTGGAGAAGCAGTTGGTCTGCCTAGCTGCCTACCACAACAGTCTCCACACGCTCCCGATCGTGGGGATAGGCAGACACTGGACTTCCTTACCATGGCTATTCGCCAGTCACGACCTACTGAAACCTGTTAACAGGTTAACCTGTTTTATGTTTTACACTAATCATTTCAATATTTGATATCCAATGCAGCTAAACCCAGGGAGTTTAGTCTAGGGGGAAACATTTATATTATTTCTGTTATTGCACGCTGATCCTATGTACTTACGCTACTCAGTAGCAAGATATTTATATAGTACTCTTTGCACAGTATTTATTTTTGTTTAAAAAACAAGCCAAATGCCTGGCTGTGTGAAATGCTTACACGCCATGTGATTGGGTGACATAACACCCAGCTAATCACAAGGCTATTTAGACACTGACCTCTAGTTAGGCACACTCGACCT